TTGTTTTTTGAGACGGGGTCTCATCTTACTCTGTTGCCCTGGCTGTAGTGTAGTGGCAAGATCACAGCTCACTACAGCCTTGACCTCCTGGGTGCAAGCATTCCTCCCACCTCAGCCTCCGAAGTAGCTGGCACTACAGATGGGCACCACCATGCCTGGCTAATTTTCTTTTCTTTTTTTTTTTGTAGAGATTGGGTCTCACTACGTTGCCCAGGCTGGTCTCAAACTCCTGGGTTCAAGAAATCCTTCTACCTAGGCTTCCCAAAGCGCTGAGATTATAGGAGTGAGCCACTGCACGTGGCCAGAAAGTTGTATTTAATAGCAATACTAAACTTTTCATTTACAAAAATACACATCAAAAATGCCTTTAATCTGTATTAGGCACTTATTACTTTTCCAATGGATGTGTTTTATCAGGTTTAAAACAGTTTAAGATAAGGAAATGCCATATTCTGAACAATAGGTTACCTTAGTTTATAACGTATGACAAGCATTCAAATTACCAAATAAATTTTAAGGTCAAGGAAAGCACTCAACCCTGAATAGCAATCCATATTTTATTTTTTGAGACAGAGTCTCGCTCTGTCGCCCAGGCTGGAGTGCAGTGGCGAGATCTCGGCTTACCGCAAGCTCCGCCCCTTGGGTTCACACCATTCTCCTGCCTCAGCCTCCCGAGTAGTTGGGACTACAGGCGCTGCCACCACGCCCAGCTAATTTTTTGTACTTTTAGTAAAGACGGGGTTTCACCGTATTAGCCAGGATGGTCTGGATCTCCTGACCTCATGATCCACCCGTCTTGGCCTCCCAAAGTGCTGGGATTACAGGCATAAGCCACTGTGCCCGGCCCATCTTTATTATTATAAAGCACAGATACGGTTGACAGCATACCATTAATAACAAATCATAACAATTACTCGCTACTTTAAAACATGATTACCGGTATTTGAAATCTTTTCAGAGCAGGCAGTGCCTGCGTTTCCTGGGGCAACCAACACTTGTTTGACATGATGAGACTGTGCAAGTTTCCAGGCCAGCGTATGTTCCCTTCCTCCACTGCCAATTATAAGTACTCGGGCTGCCATTGCTCTGTCTGTAAATCAGAAATTCCCAAGGAAAATGAAACCTGCAGAAAGAAAACCACAGTTGGTATCTTAGGATGCACATTTTAGAAACCCAGGGATGGGCATGGGGGCTCATGCCTGTAACCCCAGCACTTTGGGAGGCCAAGACGGGTGGATCATGAGGTCAGGAGATCCAGACCATCCTGGCTAATACGGTGAAACCCCGTCTTTACTAAAAGTACAAAAAATTAGCTGGGCGTGGTGGCAGCGCCTGTAGTCCCAACTACTCGGGAGGCTGAGGCAGGAGAATTGCTTGAACCTAGTAGGCAGAAATCGCAGTGAACCAGGATCACGCCACTACACTCCAGCCTGGGCAACAGAGCAAGACTACATCTCAAAAAAAAAAAAAAAAAAGGAAATCCAGATTTGTAAATATAATTTAGGTAATCATTTGTACTCATACAAATTACATTTTCATCCAATGATTCATTTTTGAAAAACTGGGATTGATAATTTGAGAAATATGACTGTGGTCACAAGGGTAAGGGAGGTATTTAAAAAGAAGGCAGGCTGGCCTAGAGAGCTAGGTTAAGGAGTCAAATGATGACTCTCAGCTCCTTATGTGATAATCTCCCTTCTCTGGGCTTCACTTCAAAAAGATTTAATAATCATCATGTCTTACTTATGAAATGAATCTTCATGTTTTAGACTCAAAATGCATTACAAAATATCAATTTTTTTTTTTTTTTTTTTTGAGACGGAGTCTCGCTCTGTCGCCCAGGCTGGAGTGCAGTGGCCGATCTCAGCTCACTGCAAGCTCCGCCTCCCGGGTTCCCGCCATTCTCCTGCCTCAGCCTCCCGAGTAGCTGGGACTACAGGCGCCCGCCACCTCGCCCGGCTAGTTTTTTGTATTTTTTAGTAGAGACGGGGTTTCACCGTGTCAGCCAGGATGGTCTCGATCTCCTGACCTTGTGATCCGCCCGCCTCAGCCTCCCAAAGTGCTGGGATTACAGGCGTGAGCCACCGCGCCCGGCCAAAATATCAATTTTTAAACCTTGAAATCTTATCGATAATCAGATTATCATAAATTGAAGGATATACTGAAAACGGGTAAGCAACTTTACACAAAAAGGGCCACATGGTTCTGTCAAAACTACCCGACTCGGCCACCTTAGCAGGAAAGCAACCAAAGATAATACATAAATGAATCAATGTGCCAATGTCCAGAAAAACTTAATTGACCCATAAATAGGCAGTGGGTCAGAGGTCACTGTTGCCTATCAGTACTTTAAGTAGTAGGAAACCATCAAAGGTTTGTAACAAATAAGCATGACTCACTTTCAATACAACTTTATGTACGGATACTATAATTTGAATTTCATAAAATTTTCACATGTCACAAAAACCTCATTTCCTGTTCTTTTTCTCAATCATTCATATCTGGTGAGCTGTACAAAAGCAGGCAGCAGAAGGATTTGGTATGTGGGCCATGGTTTGCTGATTCCTAATTCAAATAGTGCAATATGCTAGAAAATTGATAGAGAAGGCAAAAATCAAATTACAACTCATTTCGCTTTAGTTCTGGCGCCTGAGACTTAGAAGGATGGATACAACAGCAGTGTAACCTAGAAGATTAACTGAAATGATATTTATAAATAAGTACAATCTAGCACTCAGCAGTAGTAAATGTTAACTTGTTACATTTACTTACCACAAGGCAAACTGGTAACAGAAAAAGAAAATTGAAAACTTCTTTTGATGATGTTGGGATTACATGTTTTAAGAAAAATGTAAGCTGACAATATATAAAACTAACATTTTTTTGAGCACTTACCTTGGGCAGGGTACTATTTAAAATGCTTGTCATAAAAGAATCCTATGAAGGATATACTATCACCAATTTGCAGCTAAGACAAGGAGGCCCAGATAGGTAAATAATTTGCTGGAGGTCACACAGGTAAGAGGGGGTAGAGCCTAACAGAAACAATTTTGCTTCAGATTCTCTCAAGTGAAACGATGATCATTAAAAATTTGAGAAAGGAAAAAAAAACCCTGTTAAATTACAGACTCGGAAGGAAAAGCTATTTTAGTGTAATGGGAAAACACATTTTACTTGCCATGCGTATCTGAAATAAACAGTTTTTTTTTTTTTAGACAGAGTCTTGCTCTGTCGACCAGGCTGCAGGGCAGTGGCGTGATCTCGGCTCACTGCAACCTCAGCCAACCTCAGCCTCCCGAGTTCAAGCGATTCTCCTGCCTCACAGCCTCCCAAGTAGCTGGGATTACAGGCGTGTGCCGCCACGCCTGGCCAATTTTTGTATTTTTAGTAGCGACGGGGTTTCACTATGTTGGCCAGGCTGGTCTCAAACTCCTGACCTCCAGTGGTCAACCCACCTTGGCCTCTCAAAGTGCTGGGATTATATCACATACGGCCAGAAACAGATGTTTAAATCTAGAGTAAATGTTACATCTTTAGTTTGAATATACCAATAGAGTGGGAAAATTCTCCTGTTTAATGAAAACAGCGTTACGATCCAGTAGTGAGGACGCCTGGGCTCCAGAGTCACACACAGCGCCTTGGCCTGGGTAGAGACCCTGCCCTACACCAGCAGGGAGACTCTGGGGGAACTTCACTAACCTTGGGCCTCATTCATCAGAATGGGTAACAGAAGAATAAGACAGGCAAATAAAGCCACATCGGAGGATACGGAGAATAAAGCAGAAACCAATTACAAAATTAACCAAGTAATCTGTTAGAGACAACGGGTGCATAAAGAGAAAATCTGACAAAGTACACCAATTTATAGGGTTATGTTCTAAAAATGCATAAAGACACAAAAAGGCCTTGACATCTTAGAAAACAGGAACAGTAAAAGAGCAAACAGAAACTTCGCCTAACAGTAACAAATGAAAAGCACATGGTCAACCCCCACCCACCGCATTTACAAACAACACGAAAATTTCTACAAACCAGTTTCTACGGTTTCACTCAGTTCCCGACCTTAAATCCCCAAACCAAAGCCTAAGCGCGCTCTGTGTAAAAGCTGAGGGGTCTTTACGCACCGACACCAGGCAGCCACCTGGCTCCCGCTCACCCGCTCGCCGGAAGTGGGCCCACTGGGACCGGCGCGGGACCAGCGCGGGACCAGCTCGGCACCGCCCCTCACCGCCCCGCCCCGCGGCGGCTTCCCTGCCCCATTGGTCCGCCCGGCCCTGGGTCTCCGCAGCGAGAATCTAGTCTGATTCCCTCCCGCCCTGGGTGCGGCCTGACTGCTCCCCAGCCAAGACACCCAAGCCCTAGCACGTTTATAATGTGACAGTGGTATGGGGTGCCACGCAGTGTTTCCAGGAGCTCCGAGGGGGAGCGCCAAAATGCTAAACCCATTCTTAGCCAATTGTGCACCGCTCACGAGTCAGAGCTGACCAGCTACCGCGGAAAAATCTCGTGACACGCCTGACTCCTGATGAGAGTAAAATAAACCAGGCTTTGAATGCCGGTCACTTAGGACATCCGGCCTAAAATGAGGCTGGTTATACGACGCACTGGGGGAGACACAGGGCTACAGCGAGTTCTTCCTTCGCATCCCAGTGGGGGCGGGGGCTGAAAAATTTTCTCCCGGATGCATATCCCTGTCGAAACTGAACTTGGCGCCACCTGCGAGCGCCTGGAAGCCCTATGTTAAACACTGGGTTGCCCTTCTTGCTCCTCTTCTTCCTGGCCTTTAATCTCAGGCGCTTAGCAAGCCTCTTAAGGCTTCCAAACACTGCTGGGTACTGACAACTTAGGCGGACACAGTCGCCTCAAGAGAGACGGCTCCTGTAATGGCGCCTGCGTCAGACACTAACATGGCGGACATAGTCGTGCGCGGCGCAAACGTCAGCACCTCTACCCCAGCCGCTCAGAAACAGCGGAGGAGAGCAGGGCCGTGCTCACCGATTGGTCCCTCGGTGGAGCGGGCCGGACCGGGCGTTCCCTTTGGAGCCAATCAGAAAGGCGAGAGACCGAATTGGCCGCTGCGCCTCCTCCCGAGGCATGCTGGGAGCCTGGAGGACTAGCGAGGAGGAGTTGAGAGAACGGAGCGGACGCCATGGCGACCAACATCGAGCAGATTTTTAGGTCTTTCGTGGTCAGCAAATTCCGGGAAATTCAACAGGAGCTTTCCAGGTAAACGCCTCCCAGATTCTTCTGCTCCCAGCGGACCGTTAGGGCCTCACCTAGCCTTCTTTGGCATCTTTTTTCGGAGACGCCGTCGTTCCTCGGCTCAGGCCCCGCCTGGGCCTGGGATCCATTTTCCGGGCCCCCCCCAACCGCCCCCCCAGCCGCTCCCTTCCTTTCCCCTCGAGGAACTTCGCCTTTTCCGAGGTAACCCCAGACTCCCTGTTTTAGAACCGAGTTAAGATGCTCACCCTTCTGCCCTGTTTGGTTCCCCCCTGCCGTTTAGCTACTCGTAGGCCCGGTTGTCCGCCAGGGACGGGCCTAGTTCCTTCCTCAGCTCCTCCTCCGCCGCCGCGTATCCCCTCCCCCTCTCCGCCTCCGCGGATTTTGCCGGCCGGTGCCTATGACCGGAAAGGGTCTCTAACGGCCGTTTCTTGAGTAATCTTAAATCCTCTTTATTATTGCAAGCTTCAGAGCGCTTGGGGGTCTGGATCTATTAATAAGATTATTCGGGGCCTAGTGTCCTGTAGTGTCTATCAGCCGTTCTAATAGTTAAATGTTTCAATTAAAACTAACTCAAACTAATATTTGCTACTTTGTTAAAATACTCGAGATGACTATGGAAGGGGACTTTGAAATGGTAGTGATTAATTACAGCAAGTGAAAGTGGACTTTGTGTGTAGGTCTGTTATTTTCTTGCTACCCCTGCCCCAGTTGACACGCTATTTTTGTCGTTGCTGGTAGACTTTACATAATTTGCGCTTGGCTTCACAAAATTTGAAGGCGAAGAGATTGTTAAAGAAATGGTTGTTTAGTCAGGAAAATAGTGTATCATGTTCAGTTGTTCAGCGGTTGTCTTTCGGTATTTGCTTTGTATAAGATACTCAGTTCTTTAAAGTACAGAGGTAGGAAAGAGATCTTGAAACGTAAATGTTCCGAGTTCGAATGTTTTTAATTGTATTTTGAAAGTTGAGTGCAAGAGCAGTACGTGAATTTGAAAATGGGCCGAAAACCAGTTGTAAATGCCCAAAGTAATACAGGATTATTAGGGCAATGATGTATTATTGCTAGAATTATCACTTTTGCAGAATGTTTTGTTTTTTAAGTGGAAATAGATCCACTCACATTGCTTTTTAAATTTCTGTGATATTGCTAGTAGTGTTTTAGGATGAGAAGAGACCCGAGCTTAGAGAATATAATTTTCCTGACAAATCTTGCTGGATGCTTTAAGTAGTTGTTTGCTTAGTTTAACAAGCTGTGTTTTTGTACTTTTAAAAGCTAGTCTTTCCTTTAGAAAATGAGTGTTTTATTATAGAGAATTTAGAAGAAATGAAAAAGAAAAGAAAAAACTCACATTATTGATATTCTTATGTCATTTTTTCCCCCCATGTATTGTGTGATATGTGATCATCTTGTTTTGTGTTGATCATTTTTCCAGCTAATACGTTGTTAACAAGTTTGTCCCTCCCATTCTGTCTTTTGGACTTCTTCATGGCTGCATAGAATCCCGTTGTAGGAATATATTGTTGCATATTTAGGTGGTTTGAAATTTTCATTGCTTTTCAGTAAATGCAGTTAACAGTTGGTAGCTTTAAGATGAAATCATTACTTCCTTGTAGATTAACTTTTAAAACCATAATTTTCTGATTTTCAGATTTGTCATAATTATGTATAAGTGCTTAGGAAAATTGTAAAATAAAGTACTACAGAAAAGAATATCTAAAAATAATAGTAGACGAAGCACTTTATTACTAGAGGAATATGCAGTTTCTCTTCAAGCAACACACAATGCATTATCAGTCTGCAAACAAGTTTTTGATTATTTGCCATTTCAGTGAGCTATTTTTTTTCTCATCTGTTTTTATGTAAATTAGAGTATTGAGGCTGACAGATAGTTAAAACAAGTTATCGAACTTCTGTTATAGATGGTGTGTAAGAATATGGCCTCTGGTTTGAGTACCAGCTTCACCTCTTAGTAGCTGTGTGACCTTCAGCTAAGTTTCTTCATTTATAAAAGAATAATAGTGGTGATCTTAGAGTTTTGTTAGGATTAAATGAGTTAATGTAGAACAGTATGACACTAGCTAGTAAATAATGTTAATTATTATAATTATAATTATACAATTCATTGTATTAGAAAACCAGATGTTCCTTGGTAACATTTGAATTTTTTTTGGTTTTTCATCATTCAGACTTTTATCAGGTAGTGGAGCATAATTGTTTTATGTGTTTTCATTTAGCTAAAATTGAAGTTAAAATCAAACTGTTGCTGAAATTATTTGATTTTTCAAAATTTTGCAAAGTCACACGAAAATAGTAGAAATTACTGGGCGAATGACATGTTCTTACCTATTTAAAGATTTCTCTGGCCCTGTGAATGGAAAATGTGTTAAGCCATCTATGCTTTTACTGTTGGTATAAATGCCACTTGTTTTCTGTGAGTTTTTTAAATCACGGTTCTTAATAATTATGTAAAAATTACATAAATTATTTTCCTTTTTAAGTTTAGTGGCATTTCAGTAACAATGTAAGCCTGGACAGAGGTTACAGGTTACCCTTTTTATTCAGTGTGCCTGTGGCTAGCTTTTGTGTTCCTTGATACTATTGATGGTGATTGTGATTTATGCACAGGTGTGGCTTTAATGTAGCCATGGTTTCTACCATAATGTTAGGCCTTTTGATTTATGACTGGGCTGTTACTAATTTTTCTCCCCTGAGAGAAATATGTGGGCAACCCAAAAGCCTAAAGTTAGATTTCTGAATTTATTTTGTTTAAATAAGAGTGTACTTAGAAACCTGTTTTAAAGAGTTTTTCTTAAATTTCATAGTTCTGAAAACTTTAATTGTGTAAAGTGAAATGTCCTAAATATAAGTAGATCCTGTTAAGGATGCATTATTAGTGGTGAATATCTAAAATAGGAAAAAGGTAAAATGTCTGACCATCAGTACAACATATGATTATTGTAATTAATCGGATTACTTTTTTTATTAATGGTATGACAAAATATTAATGAATTTCGATAACTTTTCATGTCAAGTGGAAGGAATGAAGGCCAGCTAAATGGTGAAACAAATACACCCATTGAAGGAAACCAGGCGGGTGATGCAGCTGCCTCTGCCAGGAGTCTACCAAATGAAGAAATAGTGCAGAAGATAGAGGAAGTACTTTCTGGGGTCTTAGATACAGAACTACGATATAAGCCAGGTAAGTTGGAGATAATTAACTGTCTCAAAAATTTTCTTTTAAGATTTTTTTTGAAATTTGAAGGTTAATACTAGTCTTTTACTTCAGTATTTACGATATTTATTAAATTAAAAACTTCAGGCTGGGTGCAATGGCTCATTCCTGTAGTCCCAGCACTTTGGGAGGCTGAGGTGGGTGGATCACCTGAGGTCAGGAGTTCGAGACCAACCTGGCCAACATGGAGAAACTCCATCTCCACTAAAAATACAAAAATTAGCTGGGTGTGGTGGTGGGTGTCTGTAATCCCAGCTACTGGAAGCTGAGGCAGGAGAATCGCATGAACCCAGGAGGCGAAGGTTGCAGTGAGCTGAGATTTTTATTTTTATTTTTTGAAACTCCGTCTCAAAAAAAAAATTCAGTAAATTTAAGCTTTTTAAAAATTGATTTAATGAAGACTTGCTTGTTTAAATTCTCCATACTTCCACTGAAACACAAACATTGATGTACTTATTTGCTCTGCTGGTAGAATACAATTTTTATCTTTGACTTAGTTTCAGTTTATTTGATTCAGTTTCTTAGTATCAGGAATTTGAGTATGCATTTTTATTAAACAGTTGCGTAAAAACATCCATCCCACTTAAACTGCAGTGGATGAAGAGGTATCATTGCTTGAATATTTAGCGTTTTTGGAATTGATGTTTAGAAATGAAGGATTTAGCCACAGAAATAACAGTCATTACCTTGATTTAGTTCTGGAATCAAGTTTGTAATATGGTTTGTCCTTCTCGTTTTTGGGGGGAACTTTAGCTGTGCTAAAGTAAATAAAGTTCATGACTCTCACAGACTTTAGCTATCCTTAGATTCATGACTCTAACAACCTTGATTGAAGTATAACTTAGCTAACATTTTGTATTATGAAACAATAGAAAATGATTAGTTTTGCTTCGGCCTATGTCAAGTGTTGATTTGTTGATTTATTTTTTTCTGTAGTCTTAATGGCTCAGATTTCTGATGAGCTTTTTTTTGGGATCCCTAAGATTTATCTAATTTGATATTGGCATTAGAGTAAATAAATCTCATTTGGTTGTTAAAGTTGAATACTCCCATCTGTTTAGGGTATGTAAATTCAGACCTTCTTAAGTTATAAATTAAGGACTAAGAATTTCCTCTCTAAAATCAGTATTTTCTAAAATAGAAACATTTAAAAAGTTATTAGTGGTTTTAGAATAGTATTGGGGGAAAATGTTATTTTTATTAGAATGTGACAACATAGGCATAATGTAAAATTTGAGTTCTCTATGAATATTTTATATTTGTTATTCACATATTTTTATACTCTGTAGAGGCAATCACTAACCTTTGCTGAAAGCTTATTCTGTGCCAGGCATTGTTTGATGTACTTTGCATGTTTTAACTCACTTTATCCTCTAACTCTAGAAGACACAACACGTGTCAGTAATTTGGCCAAGACCATTAACCTAGTAGTGATGATTGAGGATTCAAAAGTGGCAGTCTGTTTCAGAGCCAGTGCCATATTGCTTCCTGTGTAAACAAGGGTTACTAATCGCAAAAATTATATTATGTGGGTATTTTTAATAGGAATGGTAGCAACTAATAACATGAAATACATTCCTTGACGAAAGTAGTTTAAAAGTAATTTTGCTATAATTTGAGAGCTGGAGGAAATAATTATTTTAATAGAATTTCATGAAACATATCTTAATGTAATTCAAAGTAAGTTTTGGTGTTAAACTAATAATTTATTTTTAAACCAGGCATTAGTTGTGGAAAGAAGTATCAGAAAAGTAGCAGTCTCCAGTATGTTTTATGAAAAATAGTTTATTGGGTAACTTTTAATTTAACGTGAGGTGTTATACTATGAGTTTTTTTTTTTGGACAGAGTCTTGCTCTGTTGCCCAGGCTGGAGTACAGTGGTGCAATCTCAGCTCACTGCAACCTCCACCTGCTGGGTTCAAGTGATTCTCCCGCCTCAGCCTCCCAAATAGCTGGGACTACAGGTGCGTGTCACCATGCCTGGCTAATTTTTGTATTTTTAGTAGAGACAGGGTTTCACCATGCTGGCCAGGCTGGTTTTGAACTCCTGACCTCGTGATTCACCTGCCTCAGCCTCTCAAAGTGCCGACATTACAGGTGTGAGCCACTGCACCTGGCCTGTACTGTGGTGTTTTAACATGGAATGTAAATATGGGCTTATATAATTTAATCTAACTCTAGTTTGGGGAATGTCTGACAAAATTAATTTCTATTACTTTCAGACTTGAAAGAGGCCTCCAGAAAAAGTAGATGTGTATCTGTACAAACAGACCCTACTGATGAAATTCCCACTAAAAAGTCAAAGAAGCATAAAAAGCATAAAAACAAAAAGAAGAAAAAGAAGAAAGAAAAGGAAAAAAAATATAAAAGACAGCCAGAAGAATCTGAGTCAAAGACGAAATCTCATCATGATGGGAACATAGATTTAGAATCTGATTCCTTTTTAAAGTTTGATTCTGAACCTTCAGCTATGGCGCTGGAGCTTCCTACAAGAGCATTTGGCCTGTCTGAGACCAATGAATCCCCTGCAGTTGTGCTAGAACCTCCTGTAGTATCAGTGGAGGTACCAGAGCCACACATCTTAGAAACTCTGAAGCCAGCTACAAAAACTGCAGAACTGTCAGTTGCATCTACATCAGTAATCTCAGAGCAGTCAGAGCAGTCTGTGGCAGTAACGCCAGAACCATCCATGACAAAGATTCTGGATTCCTTTGCAGCAGCACCAGTGCCTACTACAACAGTGGTGTTGAAGTCATCTGAGCCAGTCGTAACAATGTCAGTGGAGTATCAGATGAAGTCTGTGCTGAAATCTGTGGAGAGCACATCTCCAGAGCCATCCAAGATCATGTTGGTAGAGCCCCCAGTAGCAAAAGTGTTAGAGCCTTCAGAAACCCTTGTGGTATCATCAGAGACACCTACTGAGGTGTACCCTGAGCCAAGCACATCAACAACAATGGATTTTCCAGAGTCATCTGCAATTGAAGCGCTAAGATTGCCAGAGCAGCCTGTAGACGTACCATCGGAGATTGCAGATTCATCCATGACAAGACCGCAGGAGTTGCCGGAGCTGCCTAAGACCACAGCGTTGGAGCTGCAGGAGTCGTCGGTGGCCTCAGCGATGGAGTTGCCGGGGCCACCTGCGACCTCCATGCCGGAGTTGCAGGGGCCCCCTGTGACTCCAGTGCCGGAGTTACCTGGGCCCTCTGCTACCCCGGTGCCAGAGTTGCCAGGGCCCCTTTCTACCCCAGTGCCTGAGTTGCCAGGGCCCCCTGCGACAGCAGTGCCTGAGTTGCCAGGGCCCTCTGTGACACCAGTGCCACAGTTGTCGCAGGAATTGCCAGGGCTTCCAGCACCATCCATGGGGTTGGAGCCACCACAGGAGGTACCAGAGCCACCTGTGATGGCACAGGAGTTGCCAGGGCTGCCTTTGGTGACAGCAGCAGTAGAGTTGCCAGAGCAGCCTGCGGTAACAGTAGCAATGGAGTTGACCGAACAACCTGTGACGACGACAGAGTTGGAGCAGCCTGTGGGGATGACAACGGTGGAACATCCTGGGCATCCTGAGGTGACAACGGCAACAGGGTTGCTGGGGCAGCCTGAGGCAACGATGGTGCTGGAGTTGCCAGGACAGCCAGTGGCAACAACAGCGCTGGAGTTGCCGGGGCAGCCTTCGGTGACTGGGGTGCCAGAGTTGCCAGGGCTGCCTTCGGCAACTAGGGCACTGGAGTTGTCGGGGCAGCCTGTGGCAACTGGGGCACTAGAGTTGCCTGGGCCGCTCATGGCAGCTGGGGCACTGGAGTTCTCGGGGCAGTCTGGGGCAGCTGGAGCACTGGAGCTTTTGGGGCAGCCTCTGGCAACAGGGGTGCTGGAGTTGCCAGGGCAGCCTGGGGCGCCAGAGTTGCCTGGGCAGCCTGTGGCAACTGTGGCGCTGGAGATCTCTGTTCAGTCTGTGGTGACAACATCGGAGCTGTCAACGATGACCGTGTCGCAGTCCCTGGAGGTGCCCTCGACGACAGCGCTGGAATCCTATAATACGGTAGCACAGGAGCTGCCTACTACATTAGTGGGGGAGACTTCTGTAACAGTAGGAGTGGATCCCTTGATGGCCCCAGAATCCCATATATTAGCTTCTAACACCATGGAGACCCATATATTAGCATCCAACACCATGGACTCCCAAATGCTAGCATCCAACACCATGGACTCCCAGATGCTAGCATCCAACACCATGGACTCCCAGATGTTAGCGTCTAGCACCATGGACTCCCAGATGTTAGCAACTAGTACCATGGACTCCCAGATGTTAGCAACTAGCTCCATGGACTCCCAGATGTTAGCAACTAGCACTATGGACTCCCAGATGTTAGCAACCAGTTCCATGGACTCCCAGATGTTAGCAACCAGCTCCATGGACTCCCAGATGTTAGCAACTAGTACCATGGACTCCCAGATGTTAGCAACTACTCCATGGACTCCCAGACGTTAGCAACCAGCAACTATGGATCCCCGCACGTCAAACCGGTTCCATGGACTCCTGATGTTAGGCAAACCAGCTCCATGGACTCCCAGATGTTAGCAACCAGCTCCATGGACTCCCAGATGTTAGCAACCAGCTCCATGGACTCCCAGATGTTAGCAACCAGCACCATGGATTCTCAGATGTTAGCAACCAGCACCATGGACTCCCAGATGTTAGCAACTAGCTCAATGGATTCCCAGATGTTAGCATCTGGCACTATGGACTCTCAAATGTTAGCTTCTGGCACCATGGATGCTCAGATGTTAGCGTCTGGTACCATGGATGCCCAGATGTTAGCGTCTAGTACCCAAGATTCTGCTATGTTGGGTTCAAAATCTCCTGATCCCTATAGGTTAGCTCAGGATCCTTACAGGTTAGCTCAGGATCCCTATAGGTTGGGCCATGACCCCTATAGATTAGGTCATGATGCTTACAGGTTAGGACAGGACCCTTATAGATTAGGCCATGATCCCTACAGACTAACTCCTGATCCCTATAGGATGTCACCTAGACCCTATAGGATAGCACCCAGGTCCTATAGAATAGCACCCAGGCCATATAGGTTAGCACCTAGACCCCTGATGTTAGCATCTAGACGTTCTATGATGATGTCCTATGCTGCAGAACGTTCCATGATGTCATCTTACGAACGCTCTATGATGTCTTATGAGCGGTCTATGATGTCCCCTATGGCTGAGCGCTCTATGATGTCAGCCTATGAGCGCTCTATGATGTCAGCCTATGAGCGCTCTATGATGTCCCCTATGGCTGAGCGCTCTATGATGTCAGCTTATGAACGCTCTATGATGTCAGCTTATGAACGCTCCATGATGTCCCCAATGGCTGATCGATCTATGATGTCCATGGGTGCCGACCGGTCTATGATGTCGTCATACTCTGCTGCTGACCGGTCTATGATGTCATCGTACTCTGCAGCTGACCGATCTATGATGTCATCTTATACTGCTGATCGTTCAATGATGTCTATGGCTGCTGATTCTTACACCGATTCTTACACTGACACATATACAGAGGCATATATGGTGCCACCTTTGCCTCCTGAAGAGCCCCCAACAATGCCACCGTTGCCACCTGAGGAGCCACCAATGACACCACCGTTGCCTCCTGAGGAACCACCAGAGGGTCCAGCATTGCCCACTGAGCAGTCAGCATTAACAGCTGAAAATACGTGGCCTGCAGAGGTGCCATCGTTACCTTCTGAAGAGTCTGTATCGCAGCCTGAGCCTCCTGTGAGTCAAAGTGAGATTTCAGAGCCTTCAGCAGTGCCTACTGATTATTCAATGTCAGCATCAGATCCCTCAGTTTTAGTATCAGAGGCTACTGTGACTGTTCCAGAACCACCGCCAGAGCCAGAATCTTCAATTACATCAACACCTGTAGAATCTGCGGTAGTAGCAGAAGAACATGAAGTTGTTCCAGAGAGACCAGTGACTTGTATGGTACCTGAAACTCCCACAATGTCAGCTGAACCAACTGTGCTAGCATCAGAGCCTCCTGTTTTGTCAGAGACAGCAGAAACATTTGAATCCATGAGAGCCTCAGGACATGTTGCCTCAGAGGTATCTACATCCTTGTTGGAGCCAGCAGTAACTAGTCCAGTGCTGGCAGAGAGCATTCTGGAGCCTCCAGCCATGGCTGTCCCAGAGTCTTCGGCTGTGGCTGTCCTGGAGTCTTCGGCTGTGACCGTCCTGGAGTCTTCAACTGTGACCGTCCTGGAGTCTTCGACTGTGACTGTCCTGGAGCCTTCGGTTGTGACTGTCCCGGAGCCTCCTGTTGTGGCTGAGCCAGACTATATTACCATTCCTGTGCCAGTTGTTTCTGCGCTGGAGCCTTCTGTGCCTGTCTTGGAACCAGCGGTGTCAGTCCTTCAACCTTCTATGATTGTTTCAGAACCATCTGTTTCTGTCCAGGAGTCTACTGTGACAGTTTCAGAGCCTGCTGTCACTGTCTCAGAGCAGACTCAAGTAATACCAACTGAGGTGGCTATAGAGTCCACACCAATGATACTGGAATCTAGTATCATGTCATCACATGTTATGAAAGGAATTAATCTACCCTCTGGTGATCAAAATCTTGCTCCAGAGATTGGCATGCAGGAGATTCCTTTGCATTCAGGTGAAGAGCCACATGCTGAGGTACACCTGAAAAGTGACTCTTATGAAAGTGAACATGGTATAAATATAGACCTTAATATAAATAATCATTTAATTGCTAAAGAAATGGAACATAATACAGTGTGTGCTGCTAGTACTAGTCCTGTTGGGGAAATTGGTGAAGAGAAAATTTTGCCCACCAGTGAGACTAAACAGTGCACAGTATTGGTTACCTACCCTGGTGTTAGTGAAGCTGATGCAGGAGAAACTCTGTCTTCTACTGGTCCTCTTGCTCTGGAACCTGATGCAACAGGAACTAGTAAGGGTATTGAATTTATCACAACATCTACTCTCAGTTCAGTTAATAAATATGATATTGATGTATCTTTAACTACTCAAGATACTGAACATGACATGGTAATTTCCACCAGTCCTAGTGGTGGTAGTGAAGCTGACATTGAAGGGCCTTTGCCTGCTAAAGATATTCATCTTGATTTACCATCTAATAATAACCTTGTTAGTAAGGATACAGAAGAACCATTACCTGTAAAAGAGAGTGACCAGACGTTAGCAGCTCTGCTCAGCCCTAAAGAAAGTAGTGGAGGAGAAAAAGAAGTACCTCCCCCTCCTAAAGAGACACTGTCTGATTCAGGATTTTCTGCCAATATTGAGGATATTAATGAAGCAGATTTAGTGAGACCGTTACTTCCTAAGGACATGGAACGTCTTACAAGCCTTAGAGCTGGCATTGAAGGACCTTTACTTGCAAGTGATGTTGGACGTGACAAATCTGCTGCCAGCCCGGTTGTAAGTAGTATGCCAGAAAGAGCTTCAGAGTCGTCTTCAGAGGAAAAAGATGATTATGAAATTTTTGTAAAAGTTAAGGACACTCATGAAAAAAGCAAGAAAAATAAGAACCGTGATAAGGGTGAGAAAGAGAAGAAAAGAGACTCTTCATTAAGATCTCGAAGTAAGCGTTCCAAGTCTTCTGAACACAAATCACGCAAGCGTACCAGTGAATCTCGTTCTCGGGCAAGGAAGAGATCATCTAAGTCCAAGTCTCATCGCTCTCAAACACGTTCACGGTCACGTTCAAGACGCAGGAGGAGGAGCAGCAGATCAAGATCAAAGTCTAGAGGAAGACGATCTGTATCAAAAGAGAAGCGCAAAAGATCTCCAAAGCACAGATCCAAGTCTAGGGAAAGGAAAAGAAAAAGATCAAGCTCCAGGGATAACCGAAAGACAGTTAGAGCTCGAAGTCGAACCCCAAGTCGCCGGAGTCGGAGTCATACTCCAAGTCGTCGACGAAGGTCTAGATCTGTGGGTAGGAGAAGGAGCTTTAGCATTTCCCCAAGCCGCCGGAGCCGCACCCCAAGCCGCCGCAGCCGTACCCCCAGCCGCCGGAGCCGCACCCCCAGCCGTCGGAGCCGTACCCCCAGCCGCCGGAGCCGCACCCCTAGTCGTCGGAGCCGCACCCCAAGCCGCCGGAGAAGATCGAGGTCTGTGGTAAGAAGACGAAGCTTCAGTATCTCACCAGTCAGATTAAGGCGATCAAGAACACCCTTGAGAAGAAGGTTTAGCAGATCTCCCATCCGTCGTAAAAGATCCAGGTCTTCTGAACGAGGCAGATCACCCAAACGTCTGACAGATTTGGGTGAGTCATTTTAAAATTTAATGGGATGGTGGTAGAAAATGTTTTAAACCTTAATTTTTTCTGATCTTGAGTCAAGTGAAATATTTACTTACTGGTTTAGGATCAGTGTTTCTGTCTTTAAGTTTTTATGATTAAATGGTACTGTATTTAGGAAGTACTGGGATCAGTGTATTGAAATTAGAGTTAAAAAGTCCTGTGTCGGAGTATAGTAGAATCAAGGTGTTTCCATACTTGAATGTTTTATTTTGTTTCAGTTATCTTGCCATAGCTAAAAATGGAAAGCAGAAGCAGATGTAGAACTCTAGCTAAATTAAAAACAAGCTAAGTATATGCTCAGATTGTTATTTTATGTGTTCTAACATACATCCTTGCAAATAAGCCTAAAATTACAATGTTCCTTTTTAAATAAGTTAACATATCTTAAAATGGCATTATAGGACTGTTAAATGTTGGTGAAGGTAATTCCGATTGGTATAGTTGGTAATGGAAGTGAGTAGGGAATTTTGCATGTGGGGGTTAACTGGGTAGGTGATACTAGCTAAATAAAGTTAAATATTTTAGATCAGAGTGATTTTTTAATAACCCGTTCTGCTTTACTTTAAAAATAACTGCTCTAATTTCCCCTGATTTTAAGTAGTGTACAGAGGTGATTAAAATTTGATTGATATGCATGATTACCTACAATATGTATGGATGATTTATCCTTATCCCAGTATACTGGACATTTCTAGGCCAGGATTGACTAAAGAAAAAGAGGTTAAGAGTAAAAAGGGAGAATCTGCATTCAGTTCAACAGAAGTTTTCTGAGTTCTTTTTTATTCACAGCAGAGGAACAGGATGTAATTCCTCAAGTGATTACAAGTTGGTGGAGGAGATACGGGTAAAATGCATATATGTCTCTCTTACCAAATAGTAACACTAAGAAAGAACAGAATGTAATTGCTATAATACTGATAGAGGTGAGGTAGTTTAGGAATGCAATGGGAAAAGGAATGTTAATTCTGACTTAATGACAACTTGTTGGATGAGGTGGCACTTAGGCTGGGCGCGGCGGCTCATGCCTGTAATCCCAGCACTTTGGGAGGCTGAGGCGGGTGGATCATCTGAGGTCAGGAGTTCGAGACCAGCCTGGCCAACATGGAGAAACCCCGTCTCTACTAAAAATACAAAAAATTAGCCGGGTATGGTGGCACACGCCTGTAGTCCCAGCTACTCGGGAGGCTGAGGCAGGAAAATCGCTTGAACCCGGGAGGTGGAGGTTGCAGTGAGCCAAGATGGCGCCACTGTACTGCAGCCTGGGCAACAGAGTGAGACTCTGTCTCAAAAAAAAAAAAAAAAAAGAGGTGGCACTTTAACTGGGGCTCAAAGAGTGATTTAAGGTGTCAGAAAGAGAGTAGGGTCGTGATAATTTTGTGAAATAAAATTGGCTTTGGCAGGTTTATATCTTAGAGTGTGTGTAGTAGGGTGATCATTACAGTTGTGTAGTAATGTAATACTCAAATGGGAAGCTCAATATGTGGACTCAATTCTTTGAATGAGGCCACTGCTTAAAAACTTTGAGCCACTGGTTTGATCACAGCTATAATAGAGCAGAATATTGATGCCTACAGTTTTTTCCTTTTTTTTTCTTTTTCATTAGATACCCAAGTTCTTCGATGGATCTAGGATGCCTTTAGTTTTGTTAGTATGTTAGACTTTTGGTGATACAAAATGTACAACCTTTTAGGAAAACTGCAGCTTGTATTTTTCTTCTTACAGATAAGGCTCAATTACTTGAAATAGCCAAAGCTAATGCAGCTGCCATGTGTGCTAAGGCTGGTGTCCCTTTACCGCCAAACCTAAAGCCTGCACCTCCACCTACTATAGAAGAGAAAGTTGCTAAAAAGTCAGGAGGAGCTACTATAGAAGAACTAACTGAGGTAAGCTAGACAGAATTTGTTTTCATTCTTAAATGGATTATTCCAGTGATGTTGACTCTGGAGCGTGCCAAAACCCGAATTGTGGGCAGAACTGATAATGGCTGGCACCGAGTGGCCAAAACCCGAAATACAGATGTGGCAGCGGCAGAAGCTCTGTTTAGCAGGCCATTATCCGGGATGGCTAAGCTCCGCTAGCTAAAAGTTACTTCCCATTACTTTTGCTTTCCAGTTTTAGAAGCCAAACTGACTGAGGAGTGGGACGGTTCGTTTGAATGGAGGAGGTGTTGAGTGAGCAACACGCAGAAGCTCGCCTACAGTTTCGTTTCCATTCACGACGCGTTCACTGATCGCCACGAGTATACTGCATATACGCAAAGACACAGACAATCTTCAGAAATGATCTTTTGCCACCGGAGCTTGGAAATTAATAAGAATAGCTGGCCATTGCCTGAAAGGAACTTCTTTCGCATCAACATTTCGGGTTTTGGCTGTTTGGTACCAGCCATTGGCGATAATGGCCGGCCATTATCAGTTCTTCCTGCGGTTCGGGTTTTGGCAGTAACATATATATTTTAAACACACTTATTTTTGTTTTTAAAAGTTTGATCTTTTCAATTGAGGCTTTTTTGGGGCTTTGTTTTACTACTATTTTTTTGGTGTGGGTGGGAGGGGGGAGATGCTAAAATATTGCTGCTAGGATCCAGAAATACCACACTGTTTCATATATTGGAACTTGTTATTGGCTAGCCTTATGCCAGCCTGCCACTGTCAATATATTCTGTTCCCCTTGATTACGAGCTTAATATACTCTTGTGTTTTTGGCGAAATGAGCTTTTTATCCTATTGTAATATTTTCAGTTGATAATAGATGTCATTAAATCTACTGCTTGTATAGAGACAGGTCTACCCAAATTTACTCTTGACCTTTTTATAAAGCCAGGTAATGGAGTCTGTTCCTTTGCATCTCAGGAAGGAATTGACTTTGCTTTATGTATCAGACCTCATCAATTGCACCCTCTCCATCATGCCTTATTTTCCTAAGTTCTCCTCAACCCACAAAACATTTATGGAGAGACATGTTGCTATCTAATCCTGTTGCAAATGTTTCAGATCTTTTGTTTTGCCATACATTTGGGAAAATGTAAAGCTTCTGAATCTGTTTCCTCACTTAGATTTATTACAATATGAATTACAACTTTTTTTAAAAAAAGTTGAGGACCTTGTAAATGCTTCTATTGCTTATTTACGTAATCCAAGCTCCTTATCCAAAATGCTATGGACAGTTAATATTTTGCTGTTTTTGGCCCCATCTTCAGCCTTCTTGTCTCAAGTTTCTTCTCACCTTTTTACCACCACCTGAGTAGGATGACTTTTCCTTTCCCTGCCAGTCTTTGTTCTTCACTATGAAAATCTGGCTTAGAACTCTTCAAGGAATATTCCTTGATTCTCTAACTCTGCCTGACTCTATTCTCTCTCAAGCCTTTGTTCTTTTAGCACTTATGTACTCAGTTTGTATTATATCAGTTTGCACTTGTTAATTGTGTTGCTCTGTAAAAGTGTTCAATTATTTCATGTATATGTATTCCTTCTCTTGTACTAGATTGTAAGCTCCTTGAGAGCAGGGACCATGTCTTCTACTACTTCTTTTTTTTTTGTATTCCCCAGACAGTGCCCAGTACAGTGCGCTCTCTGCACATAGTAGGTGCTCAATAAATGTTGTTGACTGACCAGCCAGAGTGTGTTTAAATATTAGTTAATATGCCAAGTTATGTTTATCTATAACCTATCATGAATCTTGTTTAACTTTGGAAAGTTGCTTTTATGTGGTTTTGATTCTAAGAAATTACATGTTGTACATAAAGCGTAAGATTTATCTTTTGTTTGTTTTTACTTTTAAAGAAATGTAAACAGATCGCACAGAGTAAAGAAGATGATGATGTAATAGTGAATAAACCTCATGTTTCGGATGAAGAGGAAGAAGAACCTCCTTTTTATCATCATCCCTTTAAACTCAGTGAACCCAAACCTATTTTTTTCAATCTGAATGTGAGTATTAGTGCTTATGGATTGGTAAAACAGTGTAACTTGTGGAACTATTTAAATAAAACCCAAATCGAATTTAGTTTATTAATTTTTGTTTTAAATACTGTGAGAAATAATGTACAGTATCATTTTCTTCAGATGTCGAAAATCTCAGAAACCATTTAATGCAGATATTGAGCTTTAATTAAGAAACACTTTATTTTTTAGATTGCTGCAGCAAAACCAACTCCACCAAAAAGCCAGGTAACATTAACAAAAGAATTCCCTGTATCATCTGGATCTCAACATCGGAAAAAAGAAGCGGATAGTGTTTATGGAGAATGGGTTCCTGTAGAGAAAAATGGTGAAGAAAACAAAGATGACGATAATGTTTTCAGCAGCAATTTGCCCTCAGAGGTAAGTAGGAGGAATATTATGTATTTTTCCTTTTTTATACCTGAATCTGCCATTTCATTGTTATTTTATATCTGATTTGGATTCTGTTTCACTCTTCTTAGGGCCGGGTTAAACGGCAGGGCCGGGTTAGACGACAGATGAAACAACCCGCAGCTTCTCATTTGACAGTAACTCGATGCAATTCACTTTGTGGAACCAAGCCACAAAGTGAAAAGCATCGAATTGCAGAGAACAGTGTTATCACATCCCTACCCAACATTGGGCCCTCCCTGCACTTGTGGGAAGGTAGTCCAAGGTACAACTATTTAGCTTCCCGATTTGCTTCAAGGCTCTATAGCTCTAGATTTTGGTGGTAGCAAATTTATCGGGTGGAGGGATTGACCGGAGAAGGGCAGATCCTCAGGTTCAACACAAGAACTGGATTGGAAAAGGTCATTGTAGGCTGATGTGAGCATCTTGGGTACATAGCCCATTGCCCTTAATGATGGTTTCTTACTGTTTCTCTGGGGTGTTTGTCAGATAGCCTTTAGTTTTAATTATTTTTCCTTCCCTTTGCTACCTTGGCCCTTTTAAATTCTTGTGTTTAACCTAATGCTCAGCCTCGGTACTCCATTCCCTTCTCCTTCCCCCCTTTGCTACTATTAAAAGTCGGAGAAGTGGAATTCACACGTTGAAATTTCCACGGGGCTATAGTTGTATCTTATTAATGCCAAGTGTCAAAACAACCCCATTAAAATGCCGCCTGATTAAATAATGTGCTGCTAAATATAGTGCACATGAAAACAGCAAGACTGTATATATATGTAAATATATATATATATCTGTATCTTTGTATGTATCTCTGTATCTGTACCTTTGCTGTATCTTTTAATAAACAGTTTACTTTTATTTAACTTGTTGTGCAAAATCACGCTTGGGGGATCTGGGAGGGTGGAGTTTTAATAGGGGGGTGGGAGTTTTAAATACTACAGATTAGTTGTCATCACCTCTTGCCCTTGGTTTCCAAAGCCCAGACTTTTGCCAAGGACTGGACTAGGTATCTGATGCCCATCTGGACATTTTTCTTGCAGTTCTTGGATATGTAGGTCAGAGACACCTGTACTCTTCACGGCAGGTTCCCTTCCTTGGCTTGGCCGTATCATCATCTTCCAGTAAACACCTCCAATTCAACAAATAAAACCTGTTTATAAAATCAGACCGTGAACAGAACCCAAATCAGAAACTTTTTGATAGCAGTACTTTTTTCCCCAAGCTATTCACAGGTGACATTTTCACTTTTTTTTGTTTCACCTGCAGCATTTTGAGAACAAGTTCTATAGAGTGAAGCTGGACATGATAACTAGCCAGTGCAATTTACAGTTACTGGTGATAATCTGTATTCCCATGGGATTCAACAAGTGAAGCAAGTTATGCCATCACCAGTTGAGAGAGAGAGAGAGTTGGTTTGGATATTTTAGTGAGACCATTTGAGTTGTTAATCCCCAAATCAGGCTACCTGCATATCTCAAGAGAGAAAGGTTAACTGACATTTGCAGCTGACATAATCTTCTTGTAGCTGAATATAAACCATGATAAGAGGGTTGAACAGACTTACTTAGAAATCCTAATATGTATGCTTTTAGTAATTTTTCTGCAGATTAAGCATTTAAAAAAGAGTTAGAAAAAAAATAGGTAAGGAGTTTGTATGACAAATATTTTCCAGTGAAGTGAAGACTTAACAAATATTGCAGAATTCCAAGGGATCTTCCTGAGAAGATAAGTGAGCATAACTGTTTTGAATTTCTTCAGTTCAATCATGGGGAAAGTGCTTAGTAACTCCTGATGCTTACACTTTTTTGAGAGAGAGTGTGTGTGTGTGTGTGTGTGTATGTATGTGTATTTGAAATTTAGTACTTAGCCATTTTCAGTCTCAACACTGTGGTGCCTTAGCCTTGTTTGTCATGAAAAGTTGTCAGATTTTAAAGGTTGAGGAGAATTATTCTTAAATCTGGTGGGAAAAGTTGATAGAGAAAGGTACTCAAATAATGGTGACATTATTATTTTTTGTTAAAAAAATTTTTTTTCTTACCAAAGAAGAATCCTAGAAGGTAAAATTATTTTACAATTCTTTTCAAAGGGCTAAATGAATAAAGCAGATGATGTCTCTTTTGGGACGATATATGTAACTATTTGATATAAAACCTCTTTAAGCTGCTTACAAGATTAGACTGAAAAGAACATACAGATTAATTCTAAAGAGAAGAATCCCAAAATACTGGGGCAAAGAGACAGGATTGCCTTTTGCTTTCATATCTGCACTTTTACCTGGCAATAATGTTAAAACATGTAGAGGAAATAGTCACAATTTAAAATGTTTAGTTGCGGTTATTTAGCTACCATCTAAATATACTATATTGTATATATAGAAGGTAAAAGTAATGAATTTATTATTTATACAGTTAGTGTTCTATATACCAATGTTGTGAAATACTTTTGGTAACATTTTATGGGAGCATTAACCCTTTTGATTCCTTGTTAGAGTTTGAAATAAAGGCTTCTAGAGTAAAAGGAGATAGTTCTTTTAAATGGTCAACTTTTGAAATGAATAGTAATTTTTATCTATGCCTTTTTCATTTTAATAAATATAAATGGAGTTTGTGGTTCTTTGTTCTTGAGCATAAAACATTTAGGCAAAGATCACAGATTTTATCTCCATAAGAGGGCTGAATTAGCTTTGCTATAATCCCTAATCCCACCAATTGTCTTGCATATGAATGCTCTTTGACATGAGTATGAATGGATAGACATTGTGGATGAAGCAGCATAAATCCATTTCTTATGGAAAAACAACTCATCAGACTGTGTGCGGTACTGCCATAGCATCGTCTTCATACTCAGAAACCAGCCAGCATCATCCTCAGTAAGGAGTGACCACAGAACTTTGACTGTATTTGTGTGAATTTGATTTATAAACAATGAAATAAAAAAGTTGGAAAACTAATATTTTAAAAATAGTCCTCAGGGGCATTAATTCTTGGTAATAAAGTTAGCAGAGGTTTATTGAGTAGAAGATTAGGATGTAATCTTTGACATAAGTGCAGTAATAACTCTACTCAACCATTACCATGGATTTAGTATCAATCAAATGTTTTAGGGGTCCAGAGGTAGTATTGTTAAGGTCTAGTGAATGCTTAGATGTTAAGATCATCTTTATCTTAAGCAGTTTGCTGGTTTGTATTACCAAATCATATTTCCACATCCCAATGGAATTAAATTTTTTAAAAATTTATAAGCTCTAAATGTATAGGAAAACTTGGAGTAAAATGAAAATTTTAATTGGAAATTAAACACATAGGTTCTGGCACTGCTAGAATGTGTAATATACAGCCTTGTTACTAATTCTTTTCTTCCTAGATTCTCTTATGTGGTTAACGCTGAATTTCTCTGAACCATTTAGTAGGTTATCTATTTGTTTTCCCGTTGTACTTCATTTAATCTGTTATACACTAGATAATTTTGTATGATGCAATAAAAAGATTTGTAATTCACTTTTTAAAGCCAACCAAACACATAATGGGGACCTTCTGTGGCTTTAATTTTTGTAGTTGTCATTTTGCTCTTGTATGCATGAACCTCTTTATATTTTAATATTTGCTAAATATTCTAAAATCATGTTTTATATACAGGCCAGATGCTTTTCTTTAGGTCTATTTTCTTATAATTATAGTTTGCCTTTTATGCCTGCTTTTAAGGTATCTGTGATTACCAATAATGGAAAATAATTTTCTGGTTATAGGTATTTTCCTTATCTGACTCACCCCATCCTAACAATTATCTTTAGCTCTTTTATATCCTTTCACTGATACTCTAAGAAGTCTCTTAAGATACTTGTTCTTTTTATGTCAACAGTTATGTTAACAAAAGGAGTAAATTGATTTAGAAGAATTTCCTAAATGAGAAATAAAAATGTAAAAGGCCCTTACACGTATAATATAGGTCATGAAATGCATGTTATATGGTGCCAACTGCATTATATAATTTCATTATACCTCAGACACCTTTGTGGGTTTTATAAGTAGTAGTTGTCTGCTTTGTTGCTGAGGGAGAAAGAGTGAAGAATTTGGGCAGTTTTTGTTAATCTGAGAATTGTAATTCGGGACACTTTTTATGTAAATTTCACCTTTTAGAGCAAAGGTGAAAGGTCAGTAAACATTTCCCCCATTATTAGAATATTACTACAGAATTATTTTTATACATTAGGTAACATGCTAGTCTATAGTGTATTGGTAAAAATTAAGGCTTGTTGATGACAACTTGATAATTGTATTCTACAGATCAAAGATTCTTTTTCCCAGTTTTTGGAAGGGCCTTTTACATAATTTTGGTGCCTTTCTTATATTTCCAGTTTCTGAATATTAAAGGATAGTTAAGATTCTAAAGCTCTGTTGTCCAATATAGCAGTTACCAGCCACTGAAAAATCAGGTTTTTAATCACACTAGTTACACTTCAAGTGCTCAGTAGTGATCACTGCAGGAAGTTGTACTGGGCAATGCTGCTCTAAAGGGTAGCTGTGCTATTATGAGTGTTTCAATACTGATGAGTAACATCGGGTCTGACCCTTAAAAATTGCTGCTTTGGGGATTGTATTGGCTTTTTATGCCTTATTGTATAACTTGTGTTACCTTGAACGGCTGGAAACAGGCTTTTTGATGTAAACTTTAGAGGATCCTTACGAGGCTAAGATAATCTTGATTCATTCTACTTTGAGTGTGTTTTCGCATTTAAAAATAAAAATATGGCCAGGTGCAGTGGCTCACGCCTGTAATCCCAGAACTTTGGGAGGCCATGGCGGGTGGATCACTTGAGGTCAGGAGTTCGAGACCAGCCTGACCAACATGGAGAAACCCCGTCTCTCCTAAAAATACAAAATTAGCAGGGGGTGGCGGCACGTGCCTGTAATCCCAGCTACTCAGGAGGCTGAGGCAGGAGAATCACTTGAACCCAGGAGACGGGAGGTTACAGTGAGCTAAGATTGTGCTGTTGCACTCCAGCCTGGGCAACAAGAGCGAAACTCCATCTCAAAAAAAAAAAAAAAAAAAAAAAATATATATATATATATATATATATATATATATATATATATATATATATGAATGAAACTAATAGTCAAATTACTATTTGGTAATACATTTTTGACATGAACTTGCAGCTCCCTTGGTAAGTCTGTTGAAGAATAAATGTTTTACTACCTCAGGAAAAAAATAGTTGTAATTTTATTAAATATCAAGGTTGCTATAGTAAAATTCCTTTCAGAGTCATATGAATTTAATATGAAACACTAAGATTTGAAGAGTTCCATTCTGGGGACAAATGGTGAGGCATTTAGGTTACCTGTTTAATAAGGGCTAAGAGAGAAAAACATTCACAGGTATAATAGTTTGCTTTCTACTTGGAAAGAATTAGTTTTATTCTAGAAGTTATATTTTAGAGCCATCCAAATAGATTCGTGGCTAATTTATAGTTGAAAATTAGGGATCAGGAGTTGGAATAGTAGGTAGACACATTTTCCCCAGTATCCTCTCAGATTTTAGCGTTTTTAGAATAAAAGCCTATTATTTATGTCTAAGCACTTTAACACTTAGATTTATAGAGACTGCTAGGAAAAGCAAAGTAAGTGTGAGAAGGTTAATGAGACAGTACTTGTCTCATGGTGTGCCTTCAAAAATTACCCTGATAATCCTAGCTGACAAAACATCTTAAGGTAGGCCTAGGGGGACGTGAATTTTCACCTGAAATATCTGCATTCTCATTTAAAGTCCCAAGAATCAAACAGACTTAACAAGTAAAAGACGAACATACTAAGTTTCTTAGTGTTTCAGTCTCACTTTGCTTAGATTAATATTTCTAATAGGTCTTAGAAATATTCTAATTTGTGTGATGATTTACTTAAATCGACAGCGAAATTATAGTCGAGATTCAATTTGAAAGATGTATTCTGCAGTTGCTTATTACACTGTTCATAGATCTCTAGAAAGATTATATATTAAACAGTCTAATTACAGAAAAAATTAATTTTGTTTTCATTTTAAGAAGGCATTATATCAGAATCCATACTTTCTTAAAGAAAAACCTTGAGTTAGCTAAAGGAATATTAGTTCATTAGCAAGGTAACTAAGAATTATGGAAGATTAGAGGTTCTGGAGGATTAGAGGTTCTGAAGGTAAGAAAGATTGGTGGTGAATCCTTACGCATGAGTTATAATTATTCTCAGAGTCATACAGCCTTCTCTACTAGACAGGTCTTATTCTTAAGTCTTTTATACATGATACATAGTCTTAATAACAACTAGCCTCTACTTGTAAAAAAGAAAATTCATAGCTGTTAGCTCTTTACTGACTTCCCCATGTTTGTTATGTTCATGCAGTGTCTACTTACTCTTTGTATATGAAAACAGCAAAACCTTCCATGTCAGATAAGCATTTTACAAAAATGAATGTTATTGTGTGAGATAACTAGGAAATATTAATAATGTTAAGAACAAAAACCAAGAAATGAGTTGATACAGATCAACTCGAGCTTTTAATTTTAGAACAAAAAAAGTACCAAATACTTATGTTGATGCGTTTTTCCTTCTGTGGTTAAACCTTCCACGAATCTGACAAATTAAGAATTGACTCCAAAGATTACTTTTTTAAAAAAAGTTTCTTCCACTTGCCATAAGGTTTTAAAAGGTAGAATATGAGCTTTGAAAAGAAAGACCTACAACTTCAGACACTTAAAAGTGTTTCAGTTGATGTTATGGACTTCCACAGAAGTATTATAATTATAAATAGTTTAATATTATACTTATAATAAGTAGTGTGTATAAACTGAAAACATGGTTTGCTTATGTATATCCTGAATATATACATTCTTGTTTATATGAATATATACATAATTTTGTTTAAAGAAATTGGGTTCTTAAGACCAAAGTGTCCACAACGGGAAGATGTTAAAGATATGCTGATGAGTAAAAGAGTGATCATAATGATTTTCTGCTTGCTTATTCAATAATTTTGCTTACTGCTTCTGAAGGTTATGCTAATGAGTAAAATGAAAACTGCTAAGGAATGTAATAACCTTTACCACAGTTAAAAAAATTTGCAGTTTACTATAAATGGCTTTCAATCACAAAGGGTAGAGAGTTTTAAGTTCTTAATGGAATCTTCTATGATTATAGTTTGATATATAATAGAAAATTGACTAAATTCAGATTTTGGGTCCAGTTCTGCTGCCTGTGTGATACTTTGTAATTTATCTTAATCCTCTTGTGTTTTCCAAGATTACTTTCTCTTTTTGAGTCTTCTCCCTATTTTCCAAGATTATTAGTATATAAGACTATTATTTTGTTTTTGACATGTAGCAACTAAAGATATGAGTACTTTTCAGAATTTAGGGGACTATGGTAATTTGAGATAATTATCTGTGTTTTCTTTCGTAGCCTGTGGACATCTCTACAGCAATGAGTGAACGAGCACTTGCTCAGAAAAGACTCAGTGAGAATGCATTTGACCTTGAAGCCATGAGCATGTTAAATAGAGCTCAGGAAAGGGTATGTAGCAGTTTTTTTTTTTAAATTATTATGTACCTTCAGCCAACTCACACCAATGTACCAGTTTTAATGTCTAAATAAGAATTTCGCTAACTAGTTAAGTTGTAACATCATTTACCTTATTTTAAATGCCTTATTTTAAATGAAAGTGATTTGAGGCTTGATCATTTATTCAGTAAATGTTTATTGTTTACTATGTGGCAGGAACTGTTTCTTGAGAGAACAAAATAGAAAAATTTCCCTGTCCTCAAGGAGTTTACAATCTGGTGTATAAAAACAACTAAGTGCCTACAACCCTATGAAATGTGTAGGTAGTAATAGCTGCAATATTTCAGCTGAGAAAACTGAAGTAAAGAGTGGTTAAGGCCAGGCATGGTGGCTGACGCCTGTAATCCCAGCACTTTGGGAGGCTGAGGTGGGGACAAGGAGTCAGGAATTCGAGATCAGCCTGGCCAAGGTGGTGAAACCCCCGTCTCTACTAAAAATACAAAAATTAGCTGGGCATGGTGGCGCACGCCTGTAATCCCAGCTACTCAGGAGGCTGAGGCAGAATTGCTTGAACCCGGGAGGCGGAGATTGCAGTGAGCCAAGATGGCGCCATTGTACTCCAGCCTGAGCAACAGAGTGAGAGACTGTCTTGAAGAAAAAAAAAAAAAAAAAAAGAGTGATTACGTGATACCCATGGTCACACAATTAGTGGGGGAACTGGGATTCAGACCCAAGCAATCTGAATCTGGAGTCTGTGCTTTTAACGATGGACAGCCTCTCCATTTCATTTCCTACTGTTTTATGGTAAATCAGTAAGTACATGTTCAGACAGGAAATACGTTGCTGATATAGCAAGGTCTTTAGTAAATCTAATTTGTGTGAATGACAGCTGATTCTTTATCACAACAAATGTTGGCGACTGAAAAAAAGTGTACTAACTTTTTTAAAAAGTTGTTTTATGGCCGGGCACAGTGGCTCACACCTGTTATCCCAGCACTTTGAAAGGCCGGGGTGGGTGGATCACTTGAGGTAAGGAGTTCAAGACTAGCCTGACCAACATGGAGAAACCCTGTCTCGACTAAAAATACAAAATTAGCCAGGCGTGGTGGCGCATGTCTGTAATCCCAGCTACTTTGGAGGTTGGGCAGGAGAATCGCTTGAACTCGGGAGGAAGAAGTTGCAGTGAGCAGACATTGCACCATTGCACTCTGGCCTGGGCAACAAGAGCGAAGCTCCATCTCAAAAAAAAGTTGTTTTATGTATTCAAGTGGACAGTTTCCTGTATTTAAACTCTTTAAACCTGTGTCATGAATTTAGTCTGTATTTATAATGTCTCAAAGAAAGTAATTAAGAATCCAGGCTGTCATGACATGTACTACAATACATTTGTATGAGATAGGAAGGGAGGGTGGGGACCCATTGCCATATGAGCTCTTATTTGCATTTTTAGTTTATCTGTGTGACAGTTTGAAAAACATTAACAGCTGTATTTTTTAGTTAGAATTCACTAAATGTTGTCAAACTGCTTCTTTAGAAAGTAGGCAAACATTTAATGTTAAATGTGGTTTAAAAGTTAAATATTTAAGTCTGCTTTTCAGCCATTTTTAGCGAATTATTACCAGTGACATTTTAATCAGGTAATTTTATTTAGTTAACTGAGACTACTACTTTTCTTCAGATTGATGCCTGGGCTCAGCTGAACTCTATTCCTGGCCAGTTCACAGGAAGTACAGGAGTACAGGTTTTGACACAAGAACAGTTGGCCAATACTGGTGCCCAAGCCTGGATTAAAAAGGTACACAGTATATGCACATATGAAAGTGTCGAACAAAATTTAAATTTTTTGGAAACTTTATTAAAACTGCATGAAAAGACCAGTGACTCTAACCAAAGTTCCGAGTAAATTTGCTATGTGTATATGCTCCAGGGCGGACATTGAAGACGGACTGGATTCATGAGAAAATGGCAAATGTATAAATGTGGCTCAAGAGCCACTAATTTATAAGGTTATTTTAAAAATCGCTACTGCTGCTTTTGAAGGGGTGATTTAACTATATTTTGAACGCTAACAGCGTATCAGGTGCTGTTCAGAATATTCCACAGTTCCTGCTGGACTACTAACCTAATCATTTCAAAGCAGTGGTTCTCAAATTTTTCTTCATCATGGGATGCTTTATTACAGGTTTATTTTTGGTGGATCACTGCCCCCAAGAGCCCTCTACCACCTTAATTTTCCATTCCTCTATTCCTTTGTCCTTGCACCCCACCCGCTTCATTAGTGCCTGTGCCTTCTTGTAAGATCTCTTGGCCCCTGTTCCTTACTGCTCTTGTGACCTGTGGCCCAGGTCCTTTTGGTTGTCAGCTGCTGGTCACAGCAAGTGGTTGGGAGGCCCTAGTATTAGCTCTGCATGTGGTGATCTTGCCATGGGACTGGAAGGCTGAGGGAGGATGGCTGGAGTGGGATGGGCTGTGGTGAAGGGGATGGGATGGAGATTAATCTGTGGACCACCATTTAGGCCCTAGTGGCCTCTGGTGATCCACAGGCTCAATTTGAGAACCACTAATTTCATGACAAAACAGATATGTAAGACCTAAAATCAAGGGAGAGGATGGACGCCTCGTGCTATGAAGATGTAGGTGCATCTGGTTTCAGATTCTGCAGTGAGACCTGTGAACTCCACCTACGGCTGCCTCATCACTGGGGGAGTCTTAGGTGGCTAAGAAGGGCATTCTGAAGAAACACGTTCTGGTGAAGGGACAAAGATTGGCTGGATGGGTGATGGGAAATTTGTTACAGGAGTACTGGCAGCATAGCAGTGCTGAAACTGGGAGGCCGCGTGGTCTAATGGATTGGGAAGGTTTCTTTATCCTGTTGTACTCCTGACTCCTTGTGTGATCGTGGGCAAGTAACTTTGGAATTTCAAAGTCTCCGAGGTGTCTAGTGGTAATCAGTAATGTGATGGTTACCTATAGAGAGTTGCTATGAGTGCCAGTGAATGAGCTGAATTTCTGAAAAATGAGACATTGGTTGCTTTGGGTATTTTAATCTTGTAACATTTATTTCAATTTTGATAGCTTTATCTTTGTTGATCTTACTAACAAATTAATATGAAACATCATGTATACTCACTATGCCTGCCTTTTTTGGGAAGTAGTTGCACTGATGTGTATAGTGAGTACACAGTTAGATTCATTAAGAAATTACAATTTCTGTAGTTTGCTGAGAGTTGGTGTTAGAATAAAGGTGAAAATATATATAGAAAAATATTTTAAAGATTGGATTAATCTTGGACTTCTGTATTATAGTTAGTATGAAAGTGATTTATATACTATTTGAAAAAATGTCTTATATCTTGGGCAGAACTATAAATGTACATCTATTTCTTTAGTTTTACTTTTTTAATACTATTTAGTCTTGAAGCTAAGTACTCAGCCAATATTTCAGGAAGTTAGAAATAAAGCTTATGGGTGTTAAAACAGGGGCACATAATACAGGCAATGTTCACTACTAGGTAGAAACTTCTGAATGTGCTTCCATTACAAAATTTTGGTCTTTATCTAATGATGTGCTGATCCATAATATTTGTATACTTCTAAATATGTTAATAACTTAAATAACTTTTAAAAAGTGAATCTTTTACTGACTCAGTTGGTTTTCCCCTAAAACCAATTTCTTCTGGTATTTGCAGTCTTGTAGGCAGTTAACAGACTTTGAGTAAATAATTTTAAAATTTTAGTAGCACCTTTAAAAAAGACTTTGACTTCATATTTTATATAAGATATACTTTGGGAAGCAAATCATTTTGATAAACTATGCAATAAAGATACGTTCATCAGACCAAATTTTAAATTATAGTTAAAAGTAGAACTTACAGGAAAAGATTCATTTGTATAGAATTACTGAAGAATATTTGATGCTAGTATCAACTAAAAAAGAAATTTTTTAAAATTAAACATGGACCACAACATGTAGAAGTCATTAGGCAGCTGAAAATTTAACATGTATCATTCTTGTTAAATATCACAAAGATTATCTATTCATTAAATGTGTAATTGTGTTTAGAAAACCTGTCAAACGATCATTTTGGCTCTTCTTTAGTATAGTCCTGCATCCACCTATGTGTTAAAAAACACATGGAATACCAACATCCTCTCTGTGCTTTTTAGTTTGTTGCAGTATATTTTTAGATTTTAAAAAAAGCAAAGTTTTATCAGTATTCTCATTAATCAGTAAAACACTTAAAATAGTTGGTTTAAAAGAACTTTTATTTCTGGAATGGAATGATTTGGATGTGACCTGATAAATAGAGTTTATTATTGTGGTCTCATTAAATTAATCAGCTTTTTCACATTGGGGTAAAGGAACAGATGACGATACTAGGGAATGGAAACAAAATTGGAAACTTGGGTTATCTGGGGATTTATATTGTACTCTGCACAGTTGCCCTTTTTTTTAGGAGTGTTCCCTGGAAAAGAGGGACGGATGAACCTGGAAGTAAGTAAAAGACATTCTAGGTGTGTAGCATCAAGGCAGTTAATATCCAAGCATCAGCTTTCTCTTTATACATCTACACTGCATGGCCTGCACCAAATAAGGAACTGAACCAGGGGTATGTTTTTACCTCCACAGCTGCCTCCTTCCATCAGAGCATCTTGATGAACTTAATGTCTAGTCACACGTCATTGGCATGTTTTCTCCCCAGCATTTAATTACAAAGCTGGGAAACAAAAGATGATAGTTTTACTACTGCATACAAACATGTTTTTTTTTTTTTACATTCAGTATTAACTTATCAATATAGGAGATGTGAATACATACTATTTCCTGAGCTACCAAAGTTTTTTTACTCCGTTGATAAGTTAATGACTTTTGCTCTATGTATATTTATATATATATTTGGTAGAGAACATAAAAACCTAAAATTTAGTAACAAGGGGAAAATAAAGCATGATCTGGAGATACATGTTTCAAATTTTTAAAAAGTGGCCATAAAGATCAACAGTAGAATTTAATACTGTTTGTTATATGTACATGGATGCCCTTTAATAAGAGGCATTGAATATTTCTTAACCTGTAAAAATAAATGTTGATCATGCTAATGTATATACTTGTGCATCTTAGGACATTAAGTGGTTTGCTGCTTTGATGGAAATTATGGTTCAGTGGGTTGGATACAAGAGAGATGATTGTTCACAGAATAACCTGTGAACTTTCACCCCTCTGTATGGAAACTTGTTTCAGGGCCAAATCCTTGTAGCTGTCTTCTTGCCCCGGTCAGTGCCAGCCGTACTATTCACAACATTGCTGCTACCGAGGCCTAGGTATGTAAACATTTAAGGAGTTTTTTAAAAGTCTTTTAACATCAAGCTAGGTTTTAAAAGAATTCAAATTCATTTTGGCATACTTACAGGATATTTTATGTGATTGTTTTCTATTTGTTACTGTGTAAATTTCAGGAGTTTTTTTTTTTTTTTTTTTTTGGCTGCTTTAGGGATTTTCTAAAGTAAAATATTTATACTTGCTTTATAGTAGAATGGGGAAGAAAACTTTGGATGACAACAGTATGCTTCTTCAGTGTCTAAACTATTTCTAAGTGATTTTTGGGCTTTATTCATAAACTAGGTACACCTGGGACAATTAATATCATTGATTGTTTTAACATTGCCTTCTTTTTATTTTGCAAGCTAAGAAGAGATACCAGTGAACCTAAATAGTGGACGAAAACAGGAGTGTTCTAATTTTTTTTTTTTTTTGAGGGGGGCACGAGGGCTACTGTTTCAAAACTGCCATTTACTTGTCTTATTTGACTTCTAAAATACTATTACGTTAATGTAAAAATAATCAGAACATACACACTACAGTATGTACATAGAGGAATTTACATTTAATTGCTATAACAGATCTAGACGTAAAATAAGATTCCTCTTTTTAGAAAGTAAACAATGAATCTGTTACCACATTCTAACTGTAAAATGGGGACATTTTACCTTTCTTTCTTTGGATAGGATCAGTTCTTAAGAGCAGCCCCGGTAACTGGAGGAATGGGAGCCGTTTTGATGAGAAAAATGGGCTGGAGAGAAGGAGAAGGATTAGGAAAAAACAAAGAAGGCAATAAGGAACCCATTCTAGTTGATTTTAAGACAGACCGAAAAGGTAATAAGTTCTTTTTTGAAATGTTTATTAACACCTCCTTTAACATTACCTTTAATATATCCTTTTGAACCCAGTGATCCTGAACTGAAGGCATTTCTTGTATATATACAGCTATTTGTCAGAAAAAACATTAACTCCAAGGCTCACAGAAGCAGCTTACTTTTATATAACTATGGATAGAGACACCAGTTTGAACTTTTAAAAGGCACCTTTTGTTATGCTAGTTGCTAAATATGGAAATGTGTATATATCTAATTATATTATTACACCTCCAAATTCAACCAGATTTCATGTTTAGAAAACAGGATTTCCATTTTATTTTCTCTTGACAAAGAACCATCCTTATTTCTAGTTTGGTTTATTTTTTGTTATTTCCTATTACAATGCTGTTTAGTCTAGATTTCATAAACCCTGTTTGCTTTTTTTTTGTTTTTTACAAGCTCAGTAGTTTAGTTGGGTTAGAGTATAGTAGACCAGCTGCTGACAATAATGTTACTTCTTCTGTTGCCTGGTGTTAAGGCATTTTGGAACCATTAGCATTGACTGTATTTTCCTTTTACCTTCAGATTCCTGGGCAGGACAGCACTGTGTCTTCCATGTAGCTTGTATGTAGTTGTTAAGTATTTAATCGTTCCCACAGATAATAGCTAATTGGCATCTTTTAAATAACTTCTTCCTTTGGAATAATGTAAATGGAATCACGAGGCTTGCCAGCTCAGTCTGATTTTTTATAGCTTGTTTAAACCTCATTTATAAAAGCTGGCAAATGTAAAACTGGGATTTATTTTCATCTTTGTAATCAAATAGTAAGTTGAAGCTAACTTCAACAGTTAATCTGTGTTAATGAATTTGGAAATGAACTAGCTCTGCACCAAATACTTTGGTGTAAGTATTGTACAATTTCAGGAAGCGTTCTCTTTGGAATTGTGGGACATGGCCTGACTGTAAGCTCTCGGAGAACCACAGATTTCCCAGAATAGGTTTGGAAAAGCTTGTATTAGCACGGAATTATTTAGCAAAGGTTGAAAAATTTCCTGTAATATACAAGATGAGCACCCCACATCTGGAAACCCGAAATGCTCTAAAGCAGAAAACTCTTTGAATACTGATACAATGCTCAAAGGAAATGCTCATTGGTGCATTTTGGATTTGAGCCTCTTCAGATTTGGGATGATCGACCAGTAAATACAATGCCAAATATTTGAAAACCTGGAATCATGCGACACACTTCTGGTCCCAAGCATTTTGGATAAGGAATACTCAACCTGTATATGGAATTGGGAAAGCAGTGTTTGGGTTTAGCAATATAGCTAATCCCCTTTGTAATAAGCCTATGGAGAGGGAGGTTATGTGGAAAGGTTATGTTCATATTTTGAGAACATCCCCCATTTGTTAGGAAGGGAGAGGAGAGTTTGCTAGGAAAAAAGGGACATATTTTATTTGGAGACAACTGCTTGTTTCACCTTTTTGGTAGCTTAAAACCCTAACCTTTTTTGGAAGAGTCTTAACTGAGGCTTTTTTGAGAGAGTAAATCTGCAGAAATCATTTGGCAATAAACTTTTTTTTTTTTTTTTGAGATAGAGTTTTGCTCGTTGCCCAGGCTGTCAGTGGCACGATCTTGACTCACTACAACTTCCGCCTCCTGGGTTCAAGCGATTGGCCTGCCCCAGCCTCCCGAGTAGCTGGGATTACAGGCGCCCGCCACCACGCCCGGCTATTTTTTGTTTCTTTAGTAGAGACGGGGTTTCACCATGTTGGCCAGGCTGGTCTCAAACTCTTGACCTCAGGTGATCCACCCGCCTCGGCCTCCGAAAGTGCTGGGATTACAGGCGTGAGCCACCGTGCCTGGCCATACTTAAATTTTTGTTTTCTGTTTACAGTTGGTATTTATTACAATTTCTCATACCAAAGTCTATGAATATTAAATATAAATTTATATGCTGAAAAACAGTAAAAGAGAAGAAAGAGAAGATTGATAGAGAAATCAAGTGTACTAGGAATCTGTTGATTTTATCTGAAGGCATACATTTTGAGGTTCAGACTCCTACAGAGGAATCTTTGTTTTAAAATGGTGCTTTGAAAGTTATTTAGTGAACAATCTTTTTTTTTTTTTTTAAAGGTCTTGTTGCAGTAGGAGAAAGAGCACAAAAGAGGTCTGGGAACTTCTCTGCTGCAATGAAAGATCTGTCAGGTGAGAGCACATTTTTGAATTTCCTCTTACCCTAATCCCACCTTGAATTCATTATTTGTTGCAAAAGTTGGTAGAAATAATTTAAAACTGGATTTTTTTTCCCCCGCTGCAGGCAAACATCCTGTGTCTGCTTTGATGGAAATCTGTAATAAGAGAAGGTGGCAACCACCTGAATTTCTGTTGGTCCATGATAGTGGCCCTGATCATCGCAAACATTTTCTCTTTAGGGTAAATATGAATTTCTGCACTAATTGTATATATTTATTAATGTGATGACTTAGAGGGTGAGGGGTAAACATGACAGGATTAAGGTTCTGTTCATGGGTGGGAGATTTGTATTTGTAGTTAAGTGGTGGGGTTTTTAAACTGAAGGGTGCTTTCATATGACTTGTCAATGTCCTATTTTTTAAAAAATTGGAAAAAAAATGGGCAAAATATAGTATACAATTTGTTATTTTCTAGTTGAATATGGGGAATTAATTTAATACTTTTATCAGTCTTTTTCTCAATTTGGAGACCTGCTTTTAATTTGCAGTCCCTTTTCCCAAATGATTTGCTGCTTCTGGGTTGAGATTATAATTTGACTTACATAGTATGGGTTTTATATTTTTGTAAATTATTTTTCTAGCATTTAGTGAAAAAATACAAAGCTAATAGATATTAAAGTTTGATGCTGTTCTTATTGTATGTTTTTCTTGAATAGGTATTGAGAAATGGAAGCCCTTACCAGCCCAATTGTATGTTTTTCTTGAATAGGTATTGATAAATGGAAGCGCTTACCAGCCCAGCTTTGCCAGCCCTAATAAGAAGCATGCTAAAGCCACAGCAGCTACTGTGGTTCTTCAAGCAATGGGCCTTGTACCAAAGGACCTCATGGCTAATGCCACTTGCTTCAGGAGTGCCTCACGTAGATAGATTGAGGTTTTATAATAATCATTTCAGATAATTTTACTCTGCATCACAATGTATTTCCTCTTTAATGTTGTAAATATTTGGCAATTTAAGACATTGTGTAAAAAGCAATCTGTAAAAACATCTCCAGGCTTTGATTTTTGTACCATGGAAATTGTATTTAACCATACAGGGTTTTGGTATGTTTATATTGTTTACCTTAGTGATGTATTTGTTTAAGTGGCTAACATCCAAATGATTGTTTGAAGGCATCAGAGTAATCTTCAGTGTGGAATGTTAAATAACGCTTTTATACTGTATTTTGTACTATGATGTAACTCCCCTTCCTTATGGCTAGGCTACTGTAACACTTGCCTGTAATCAGTGAAGGGCTGTGCACCTTGTACTATTTCACAATGGGTTCTGCTGGACAGATACTGGGCCAGTGTTATTGAGGTGATCAAGATCTGTTCCACAGGGCTATTGCCACCATCTCCCCTCAAAATTTTGTAGAGGTTCTAAAAAGAAAGTGGTATGTTGTGTGATGATCAGCACTAAGTCCTGCATTCCTGTTAAAGCCACTTGGGTCATAAGAAGGGAGTAAAAATGAAGTCTGACTAGAATTCTACTATTGCAGAGGCCAAGTACATTTAGTATGGCATTGAGTTGTGATATAGTTTTACTTTGATGTGCATTTTGAATTTCAGCTACACCTAGATAGACGTAAAATGATAATTAAAATGCTGTAACCAACTTATCTAATAAAATTGGCAACCAGCCACTATTTTGTTGACTATGAGAAAGTTAATGTTAATTTTTAGGGTCCGATAGAATATTTCATGTGTATTACAGTGGTATTCATATGCTATGTCTCTAAACTTTATTTTCAAAAGCTTAAGGCCCAAATACAAACTTCTCTGGAATAAACGTGGTGTTTTATTTTCTGGATCATAAAGTGAACAAATACTTAGATACTATTATTTCTTTACCCAATGCTTTTGATTTCTAAGCACTTTTATTTTAAAAATGTGAATTATACAATCCCAGCACACACAACACACACACCCACACACACCCACACCCTATAAGCACATTAAATACTACTTTGCCATGACAGCTCAGTGTACTTCACAATTCTTAACACTATTCTATGTGGAATACAAAATGCCTTTTTATCTGAATTAACATGCATTAGAGTTTTAGTATATGTGAAAATAAAGGAATTATAAATCAGTAGGAAAGATATTAAGGTAGAAGCATCACCAATCAGCTAGCTCAGTAGATGTTATCTATATTTATTTTCTACCTTTATGAAACAAGAACCTGCTAACAGTCTTAGGTAAATGGTAAAGTAACATATTTTTGCCCTGATGCCGTTAGTCACAATGCCATGAGGTAACTGCTATGTGATTTCCCATTTGCAAGGAAACATTAATTCAGTTTCTACTCAATATACAATTAGGTTGTAGGGATACAGATAGCTCATTTGAGTTATCTGAGTTTTTCATCTTTGTATCTAAAAATCTAATCTGAAAATAGGAAAAGCAGAAAACACTGATTTGAAACCTTAGAGGCTACTGTAATGAAAGTTATGTTTATAACATGTCAGTATATTCCTTCAACTTCAAGAATCTTGAATTTCCTTGCTAGAAGGCTTTTTTCCTCAAAGATTCCTTTTAGGCTTACTTTGGTGTTCAGGATCTCCAATTATAAATGTAGTCTCTCAGCACCACATTCCGTAAAGATGATTTCCCAAGTAATGGTATTTGACTAAGTTGCTCCAGAGTGTTAGGGTGCAAACCACAGTTAGTAAGCTCCTTATGAACAGCCTCCTGTGGAAATGTGTATACAAGTCAGTAAAAAGCACATCAATCTTTAAACACAAAAGAGTTTCAAATAATTACTATGGAGACTGACAAATGTCTCATTCATGTGATTCATCCTATCAACAGAAGTTGATCCTAAGAATTTTTGTAGTGACAAAATCCCAAAACATTAATGGTTATTTTTATAAGTCTAGCCAACTGAGATGCATGAGATAATTTTAAAGGTCTTAATTATTCTGCCTCTAAAAACCTTAAGTATATTCAAAATTAAAGGCAAATATGGTTAAATAGCCACAGTGAATCATGTTTCCTTAAACTATAAAGGAATCAGGTACTATTGAGTTTTGGATGCAAGAGGAAATGAAAATAAAAGTTGTACCTTTTTGAAATGCGAAGTTCTTCAGTCACTGTTAAAACTGTATTTGGACTGAGGCCGGGCGCCATGGCTCAAGCCTGTAATCCCAACACTTTGGGAGGCCGAGGCAGGTCAATCACCTAAAGTCAGGAGTTCAAGACCAGCCTGGCCAATATGGTAAAACCCTGTCTCTAATAAAGATACAAAATATAGCCGGATATGGTGGCACATGCCTGTAATCCCAGCTACTTGGGAGGCTGAGGCAGAATTGTTTGAACCCAGGAGGCTGAGGTTGCAGCAAGTGGAGATCGCGCAGCTGCACTCCACCTGGGCAACAGCAAGATATCATCTCAAAAAAAAAAAAAAAAAAAAAAAAATTGTACTTGGACTGAATTCATGAAAGCTACCTCACAAAAACAACTTATAGACATTATTCTTTCCTCTAGTAATTCATAATTAAGTAACAGTTTAATTACTTGAAACACAAAAGTGACTCAGCATAAATGACTCACTTCCCTCCAGCTAGTTAGAGGAAACAACTAAAACAGTCTGCTCATAGGTGTCTTTCTTACCATATCAAGTACTTTGTCCACTGGCAGGCAGATGTTAAATACAGCAGTTGGCTCGTGTGGATACAGTACTGCAGAGAAAGACCCACTCTGTGAAGATTTGAGCAGCATGGTCAGTGAATGCAGAGAATGAGGCATGATAGGACCTGTAATCTCCAAACTAAACTGGTCTCTGTATCCAGAAAGAGCTTGTGTCTTCACATTTACACTTCGTGCCTTCATGAAAATTTAAAGAAAAGGAAAATTATCTCTCAACCTTTTGTCTAGCCAAAAATATGTTCAATATATTTCCATTTGGGGTTTCCTCTCTTTAACAATTATGGAACAAAACTATTTCCCAAGACATCAAAACAATGTTATGTGAGTACAAATACTTGGTAAATTTTCAGCATCCTCTCCATATTATGAGATTTTCAGGTGATGTATATTCCAGAGAATACCACTTTTTCATATGGTATTTTGTCTGATTTAGTAATACACTGTCAATGCAGACTATTGGAAAAACAAAAATTTAAAGTCCATTCAATTTTATTACTAATAAAATTGTATGTATTTTGTATTTACATATATAATTTATTATGATTATAATCCCAGCACTTTGGGAGGCCAAGGTGGGAAGATCACTTGAGGTCAGGAGTTCAAGACCAGCCTGGCCAACATGGTGAAACCTTGTCTCTATTAAAAATACAAAAAAATTAGCCAGGGATGGATGGTGGTGTGAGCCTATGGTCCCAGCTACTTGGGAAGCTGAGGCAGAAGAATCGCTTGAGCCCGGTAGGCAGAGTTTGCAGTAAGCCAAGATCAAGCCACTGCCCTCCAGCCTGGGTGACAGCAAGACTGTCTCTAAATGAATGAGTGAATGAATGAATGAATGAATGCAGGGCGGCCAGGTGCAGCAGCTCATGCCTGTAATCCCAGTACTTTGGGAGGCCAAGGGCAGATCATGAGGTCAGGAGTTCAAGACCAGCCTGACCAATATGGTGAAAACCCGTCTCTACTAAAAATGCAAAAGAAAAACAAATTAGCCAGGCGTGGTGGTGCACACCTGTAATCACAGCTACTCAGGAGGCTGAGGCAGGAGAATTGCTTGAACCCAGGAGGCGGAGGTTGCAGTGAGCCGAGATCACATCACTGCACTCCAGCTTGGGTGACAGAGATTCCATCTCAAAAAAAAAAAAAAAAATAGGGCATGGCAGTGCACACCTGTGGTACCAGATACTCGAGAGGCTGAGGCAGGAATTTCACTTGAGCCCACATGGTTGAGGTTGCAGTGAGCTGTGCCACTGCACTACAGCAAGACCCTGTCTCCCCAACCAAAAAAAGATAATACATGTTCATATAATTTAAAAAGAGGCCAGAAGTTCAAGACCAGCCTGGCCAATATGGTGAAACTCCGTCTATACTAAAAATACAAAAATTAGCTGGGTGTGGTGGCTCCCACCTGTAATCCCAGCTACTCAGGTGGCTGAGGCAGGAGAATCGCTTGAACCTAGGAGTCAGAGGTTGCAGTAAGCTGAGATCGCACCACTGCACTCCAGCAGGTGACAGAGTGAGACACCCTCTTAAAACAAACAAACAAGAAAAAACAAAACAAAAAAAATAGCTAGGGTTGGTAGTGTGTGCTTGTAATCCCAGCCACTCAAGAGGCTGAGGCACGGCACAAGAATCACTTGAACCCGGGAGGCAGGGGTTGTACTGAGTTGAGATCACGCCACTGCACTCCATCCAGCCTGAGCAGCAGCGCAAGACTCCGTCTCAAAAAGAAAATAAAAAGGATTTCATATAATTTACATATTTCCACATAATTTCTTTGATGTAACTGTCTTATATAATTTTTTTTTTTAATGGGAGGAAAGCAAAAGGAAAATATGTACCAAGTAAAAATGCTACAAGGTTTTTTTTTTTGTTTTTTTAAATCAAGAATTTATCCTATCAAACAAAGTAAAGTACTTTGTATTAACAGCTAGGTTATGGAGATTTTTATTACCTTAAGTATTTGCATTGTGGCACCTCGGAAAGCAACAGGGGACAAGAGGGTTGGAGGAAGTCCTGCCTGTGGACCTGAGGTAGCAACTAAACTCTTACAGTTAATCAAAAAATTGAGCAATGTAAAGGTGTTCATTCCTTTTACCAACACAACAGACTCAGGTCTGTGATCCATCTGTACTTCATGTTTCTCTTTACGACTGAAGATGACAATCAAGGAAATTGCAAAAGCAAATCTCACCTAATATGTAAAGCAGTTATCTTGATTCTGAATCACCCAAGACTCCTTTTCTCCACAAAGAAATGGAAATCCTCTTGCTACCTCTCTTTACCATAAGGTAAATCATAAGGCATATGTTTCAATCAAAATGTTAACAATCTGAGTTTGCTACAAACTGACACCTGAACCTAATTTCTTCTCTAGTCAAAACACACCTATTCTCCCACAAAGAATCACAACTGAACGTTTTGATTAAAAAAGGTTTAACAGTTCACCATTTATTACTTAGGGGCTTATTTAATATTACAATGGACAATTAGTTTTAATATGATCTGAAGATAATTCAAGATTATAGTCATATAAAACTGCCAATGTTAAACTTCTCACTAACGTCATTCAATGAAAATTAATTCTAATTAACAGCAACTGAAAGGATACAGCTTGATAGAAAGTATGTCTGGCTTTTTAATTTTATCTTGCACACCCATCTCTTCCAGCCAGGAAAAACTTTCCTCTTCGTCGTCATCACTGATGGCTTGCTCCCTAGGAAATTGCTACAGTTAGAGTCCCTATTTCTCAAAGCTGCTCTTGTACAAATCTATTTCATGAGTCCGTAAGTCAGTGGATGACATAAAAAGTTATTTTAATCACATACTCCCCATATCCCAAGCTTGTTCCAGATGCTGTCTCCTTCTTATAGCCACTTTCTTTTATTAAAGGCAGAGAAAATTCAATACCTACATGAGGAAAAAAAATGTAACTGAGTTTTCATGTAAAGTATTTAACAGGCAAGCTGTACTTTTAGAGTGTAAAAAATTTGAAATGTTGGTTTTTATAAATGAT